CACCTCTTCATTTGTGTCCTTTGCAATATTCTTTATTATAAGCCACCAAACATAAGTGTTTCCCTGAGTTCTGTGAGCCACTCTAGCCAATTAATTAAGCCCAAAGAAGGGGTCATGGGAACCCCAACCCAGAGCCATTTGGTCAGAAGATCTGGAGGCCCAGACTTGTTCCTGGTGGGAAGAAGGGGGCGGTTTTGTGGGACTCGGCCCTTAATCTGTGGGATCTGATACTATATTTGGATAAATAGTGTTTGGATTGAACTGGAAGATAGCCAGCTGTGTCTGCTGCAGAGTTGATTGCTTGCTATCTAGTGGGGAGAAATTCCCATCAATTTGGGAGGAAACCTGTCTTTTGTGTTAATTGCTATGGTGTGAGAGCAGAAGAAAAACGGATAGTTTTTCCTGAAACCAGATTAATGTCAACAAGGGAATTGACATGGTGTTGTAGCCACTATATATTAGTATGTGGGTGTATATGTTGAGTAGCGATGCAGAGGCCGACTGCCAATCTTTTTTGACACACACGTTTGTGGGCACACGGCTGTGCACACGGCTTTTTAGAGTTCACCAGGTGAAGTGCAAGAGGCAGTGCCCACTCCACTCAGTCCTTCCTCTCCCCTCCTTTTCCCTTGTTTCTCGTTGTCTCTGCGTGAGCTGGGTGGGACTTGCTTCTGAGTTCCTTTGGGGGCCTGCTGCCTGGGTTGGGGTGATCACTGCTCTGCTAGAAAAATCCAGAATACCGTGTGTCTTGCCCTATTCTGGATGGTGCAATGTCATGTTTTCCTTGCAAGAGGCAATCTGCTCCATCCATGGAAATTTGGTTGGAGGAGTGTGGAGATCTCAATTAGGGCTTCTGTCTACACTCAAAGTTATTTCCTTGGAGACAATTCTCCCAGTTTCTACTCTGCCTGAGCAGAAAGGCTGCATTTAGGGAGCTTGGCAGGCTGTACAGTAGGGTTAAGGATCTAGAGAACCAGCCTAGGACTTATAGTAGAGGCTGTTGGTGCCTCCCAGTTCCAGCTCTTGCTGATGACACTCTACTTCAAGAAAGAACTGTACTATTTCTATTTCTTTCTTTTTTTTTTTTTTTTTTGAGACGAAGCCTCGCTCTGTCACCAGGCTGGAATGCAGTGGCGTGATCGCAACTCACGGCAACCTCTGCCTCCCGGGTTCAAGCGATGCTCTTGCCTCAGTCTCCCGGGTAGCTGGGATTATAGGCACCCCCCGCCCACCATGCCTAGCCAATTTTTGTATTTTTAGAAGAGACAGGGTTTCACCCTGTTGGCCAGGCTGGTCTGGAACTCCTGTCCTCAGGTGATCTGCCCTCCTCGGCCTCCCAAAGCACTGGGATTATAGGCATGAGCCACTGCGCCCGGCTGCTGAACTGCACTATTTCATCTAAAGATTTGCTCTCAGCTAGTGCATGCTAGGTAGGCAGAAAGGCTAGATTCTTGTGGCAGTGACACGCTGGGGGAGGACAGGGTTATTGGTCTGATGATTCAGTCTCAGTCTTTTAGTGAGCCTGTAATACTGGGTTTATGACCTTCACTTGGCTTTTTTCTTCTGCCCTTGGTTAGCATAAAAACAAGCTAGAGCTGGCATTTTCCCTTTCCCCATGTTAAAGATGAGAGTGGCTGAGGTTGGAGTTTTTCCTTCCCCTAGGCAGGTTAGGTTCGGTAAAATCCTTTCCCTTGAGGGCAGGCTTTTGTTAAGAACAGACCAGAACTTTCAACGTTGTCCACCCTGAGCCTCCAGCAATTCATCAATTACAGTTCAAGTGACCTTCCTACACTGTCACCAACCCCAGAGGACTCTGCTCTGCTCCCAGTAGGCTCTTTTTTTTTTTTTTTTTTTTTTTTTTTGAGACGGAGTTTCGCTCTTGTTACCCAGGCTGGAGTGCAATAGCGCAATCTCGGCTCACCGCAACCTCCGCCTCCTGGGTTCAGGCAATTCTCCTGCCTCAGCCTCCTGAGTAGCTGGGATTACAGGCACGCACCACCACGCCCAGCTAGTTTTTTGTATTTTTAGTAGAGACGGGGTTTCACCATGTTGACCAAGATGGTCTCGATCTCTCGACCTCGTGATCCACCCGCCTCGGCCTCCCAAAGTGCTGGGATTACAGGCTTGAGCCACTGCGCCCGGCCCCAGTAGGCTCTTACCTCTGCATTCTCCTCTTTCTCCAATTCTGGGGACTGCAGTTTGTCCTGTGATCTCAATCTCTAAGGCATCTTAGAAAAAATATTGATATTCACTTGTTTAGCTTTTTCTTGCTGTGAGCATGGGAAAGATGACCACCAAGCTCTTTAGGAGTTGGACTAGAAACTCCACAGGAGGTTCGTATTTAATATTTTTAATCTAAGAAGGTCAAAGAAGTAATTTTTTAACTTCTTGGCAACTCATCTCAGTTTTAACTTTTATTTCAGTGCTTCCTTTTATAAACTGTTACATAATGATGACATCTTCCTGGGAAACATGTGGTATTCCCACCCACCTGGGCATGGAAAGGCCGTAAAAGGTCAGGAAGCAGTCAGAGGGGCTGGTGTTTCCTGGAGACTCAGGAGGACCAGCCAACCACAACCTCTGGGTTACCTTGGCAGTTGCAGAATAAATGCATTATAGTTACTGAAGCAAAAAATTGGATAGGTCTGTTTGCAGATTGAGCTGTAAAAATGCCATTCAAAGACAAATAGCCTAAAAATAAAATGTAAAAACATAAACACTAATTCTGTAAATATGATACATAACGCACAACTGAAACAAAATTTGCCAACTTGCTCAACATAAAAATCTATGAACAGTTTTTCAATGTTATATAATTTCCCCCTCCTCTCTCTGGATCTTGCTTTCCAGAGCTCATTCTTTATAGTCCTCTGTTGCCTCTGTGATAAGCAGCTTCGGAGATGGTCCCTAATGATCCTGCCTCATCCCTGCCCTTGTGTAATCCCCTACCACAGTGCAGGGTACACCGACTGATTTGTTTTAATTGATAGAATACAACAAAAGTGATGAGGTGTCATTTCCTGATTACATTACAAAGCTTTCCTGGCTTCTATCTCAGTGGGTTCTCTTGCTCTCTGGCTCTAAGGGAATCCAGAAAATATAATGCAGGCTGCCCTATGGTGAGGGCTGCATAGCTAGGAATTCATGTCTCCAACAACAAATGAGGTCCTGAGCCCTGCTGCCAGTCACATGAGGGTGCTTGGAGCTTGGAAGTGAAGATTTGAAATAACTCCGGGAGTCAAGCCTTAAAATAACTAGCCCTGGCAGCTGCTTGATCGCAGGCTTGTGAAAGAGACCTTGGGCCAGAGGCACCAGCTAAACTGCCCCTGGATTCCTGACCCACAGAAAGTTAAAGATAATGTGTTTTTGCTTTTTGAAGCTGCTGAATTTGGGGATAATTTGTTAAATAGCAATAGAAAATGAGTAACTCTTGTATTCCTCTTTGTCGTGGCTCCCCCATTTTGAGAAAACTGAAATGAGTCAAAGTGTAGAGCTGAAATATTCAAATGAAAAAAATAATAAAGTCCAGGCGCAGAAGCTCACGCCTGTAATCCCAACACTTTGGGTGGTCAAGGCGGGCGGATCATGAGGTCAGGAGTTCGAGACCAGCCTGGCCAATATGGTGAAGCTGTTAGGCATATCACTTGTGTAAAGAGACCACCAGGCACACTTTGTGTGAACAACATAGCTGTTTATTCATCTTGGTGCAGGCGGACTAAGTCCAAAAAGAGAGTCAGCAGAGGGTGGTGGGATAGGAGTTGGTTTTACAGTTTGGGGCAAGTGGTCAGTTAAAGGTGGTAACCTATTTTAGGGAGGGGAAGGGCATCATGGGATGCATGGTCACAAGGGTAGTGGTGATCTGTTACAAACAGGCGTGATCATAAGAGTGGGGGCATCAGCTGCAAGCAGAGGGGAGGGTGTGGTAAATTACATAGTTACAGGGGTGGGGATCTTGAGAAACCCAAGATCTAGGGAGGAAATTCCGCAAGGCTGAGCAGGAACAATGGTTGCAGCTTGCAGGGGGAGAGCAATTAGTTGAGGCAGGAACAAGTTGTTTCACTTCTTTCTGTGGCCACCTGGTTATTTGTGGTTACCTCAGACTTTCTGGCTTCTGGGGACCATGCAGAGGTGTACATGCAGGTCACCAAGACTATAATGGCCAGGCTTTGACTCGGACGCCTAACAGAAACCCCATCCCTACTAATAATACAAAAATCAGCTGGGCGTGGTGGTACACACCTGTAGTCCCAGCTACTCAGGAGGCTGAGGCAGGAGAATGGCTTGAACCCGGGAGGTAGAGGGTGCAGTGAGTTGAGATCATGCCACTGCACTCCAGCCTGGGCAATAGAGCAAGACTCCATCTAAAAATAATAATAAAAGATAATAAGAATACAAATTTTAAAATTATTTTAAGTTCTATGTTTTGACATTCCAAAACATATGTATTGCAAAAAAATTTACATGTTGAAGTCCTAATTGCCAGTATCTTAGAATGTAACCTTTTTTGGAAACGGGGTCATTTCAGATCTAATTAGTTAAGATGAAGTCATACTGGAGTACAGTGGGCACTAAATCTAATTGATCCTATGATTAGGATCAGTCTCAGTCTTTTAGTGAGCCTGTAGCCCTGGGTTTATGACCTTCACTTGGCTTTTTTCTTCTGCGCTTAGTTGGCATAAACACACTACCCTCAGGAGGAAACAACTCTGTTGATACCTTCATCTGGGACTCCTACCCTCCAGAACTGTGAGGCAACACATTTTTTATTTTTTACGCCACCCAGTTTGTTGTATTTTATTAGGCAGCCCTAGGAAACTGATATACATACATTTCCTGATTTAATCCTCACAAATCCCTGCAATAAGGGAAGGTCCTTTGTTATCTGACAGTACTGTGAAATCACAGAGTTTTCTTAAAATTAACTTCTGTAATTTATTTTTAAGGTACTAAGGTCTAGACACCACGTGTCTTCTCTCTGTAAATACCAGGCTGTGCTCTGTTTTCCAGCAGTCACTGGACTTCAGCATGACTACTTCTCAGTTGCTGGCGTATGTCGCAGTTTTGCTTTTTTACTTCTCAAGAGCCAGCTGCCTAGATACTTTTGTTGCAGCTGTTTATGAGCATGCAGTGATATTGCCCAGTACCACCCTAACACCAGTGTCTCGTGAGGAGGCGCTGGCATTAATGAATCGGAATCTGGACCTTTTGGAAGGCGCGATCACATCAGCAGCAGAGCAGGTACCATCTCTACCGTTTCTCCCAGGATTCTTTGAGAAAGGAGGGGATGCTTTCTCATAGAATACATGTGTACCAGGGTAGCCAAGAAACTTTATTTTACAGTTAGAATTCTACTTTCCTCTCAAAATTAGAGCAAGGACACTTCCTTATCAGTAAGAACCAAGTTAAGGAAAGAACAATTTGGTCATCATCAAGAAGTAGCAGACCTTTGAGGAACCGGCCATAAATTCAACATCTTTGTTCCCCTTTTCTGGTGCAGACGGAGGATGAATGATAAATGGGTCAGGGATCAGGTGCTATTCTTAGAGTGTTAGTGGCCTTGATGTACTCTTGTGCTATTAAGGGTTTGCAGGTTTTGGAATAAGTTTATAATCTGAAAACAATTAAACTTAAGTTGTCAGTTCCTTGGCAGCATGCATTATATACTTCATACTTCACTCTAATTACAAGATAAAAGTACATATAATGCATTGTGAGTCATGGAGTTGAGTGAAGATTTCAGTTTAAAGTTAATCCTACAGTATAAATTGTGGTTTACAAGAATATAATTTTAAAAGCTAATAATCGATTAGGTGTAGACCAGGAATATATGAAGTGTGATACAAGTCATAGATAAATATGTAAGAGATAGGGTTTTGCCATGTTGCCCAGGCTGACTTGAACTCCTGACATCAGGCTATCCACTCACCTCAGCCTGCCAATATGCTGGGATTACGGGCATGAGCTATCATGCCTGTCCTATATTCTTATATATACTAATATTTTAAAAGTTATCAGGAGTTCTGATGTTCTTTTTCACCCTTAGTCCAACTATTTCCTTAAAGGTCACAGAGTGACTCTCTATATGGTGACCCTCCAATTGGAAAGTGCCCAGGTTAGCTCAGGCAGTATTTGTAGGCATGGCACAATTCAAGTAACCAGTTTGTGGCTCCTCTTTTTCTGAGGAGCTGGAGTCATGTTTGCAGGGTATGATGCAGGAGAAGGCCGGGGCAGAGGAGGAAATAAAGAGAGCATTTGAGTTATAAATCAATCCTGATGCAGGCACGATCATCAGCCAAAGTTCAAGGAGAGGCTTGGTTCCAGGATGAGCTAGGATTTTAGTTAACAACTGCCATAGGAAGCAACAATGGCAAGAGTAAAATGCTTGACTAGAAGCCCAAACCTCACCAGTCTGTAACATATCCATGTAACTAAACTGCATATGTACCCTCTGAATCTAAAATTAAAAATAAAAGAAAATAAAAATAAAAAGAAGTGACAGTGCACTGAAAAAAAGAAAATTTAAATGCTTTGGAAAAGAAAATAAATTATAAAAATATAGAAAACAAATTAAGATTTAAGGGATGTCAGGGGGAAGCCCAAATAATTGTTACTCAGCTGCTCAGTTCCTCAGCTTCCTTTTTGATTAAGCTGCATTTTTAACAGGGTGCACATATTATTGTGACTCCAGAAGATGCTCTTTATGGCTGGAACTTCAACAGGGAATCCATCTACCCATATTTGGAGGACATCCCACACCCTCAAGTAAACTGGATCCCCTGTGATAATCCTAACAGGTAAAGAAGTAAGTTGTGAAAAAGTCACTAGTGAACATCAAATTGTTTTACCTGGGAAAACTTTGTGGACGATCGTTGCGTAGATCCATGATCAACTCTAAGTTTCAGGATAGCTTATCTTTCATCTACTATGGGTATATTTACTGGGAAAGTAAATATGAATTATGAAGTCACAGAAATCAGAGCTGGAAGGTAGCTTAGAAATCATCACATTCAATGTGAATGTCTCTGGTCTCTGACTCCTCACCAGTGAACAGAAAAATATTTCCCTGTGTGGCTCTGAGATTTGAAAACTGTAAGAGTAAATGGCAAAGTAGACTCATGTCAGTTTAAGATTAATAGTTTTTCCTTTCTCATTGATAAGATAACTGATGAGGTTAATGTAGTAAAGTCCTTAAGCTGATTGTAACCTCAGAGGTGATATGGCAGGATTGAAAGTGGTATAATTCAGGTTCAGACTAAAGAGATATTAAGTATGATGAAAGCAGCACTATTAATTTTAATGTAAGGAAACCAATACTTTATACACCTAAGAAAATCATGTCAGTTCACATACTTCTTTCTGAATACACATGACTAAAATTTTTTTAGGAATTCCTCTTTTGGAACTGTTCTCCAAACCACACAATGTCAGTTAGAATGGCGATCATTAAAAAGGAAACAACAGATGCTGGAGAGGATGTGGAGAAATAGGAACACTTTAACACTGTTGATGGGAGTCTAAATTAGTTCAACCATTATGGAAGACAGTGTGGCGATTCCTCAAGGATCTAGAACCAGAAATACCATTTGACCCAGCAATCCCATTACTGGGTGTATGCCCAAAGGATTATAAATCACTCTACTCTAAAGACACATGCACATGTATGTTTATTGTGGCACTGTTCACAATAGCAAAGACTTGGAACCAACCCAAGCCTATCAGTGATAGACTGGATAAAGAAATGTGGCACATATACAGCATGGAAAACTATACAGCCATAAAAAATGAGTTCATGTCCTTTGCAGGGACATGGATGAAGCTGGAAACCATCATTCTCAGCAGACTAACAGAACAGAAAACCAAACACTGCATGTTCTCACTCATAAGTGGGACGTGAACAGTGAGAACACATGGACACATGGAGGGGAACATCACACACTGGGGCCTGTCAGGGGGTGGGGGCTAGAGGAGGGATAGCATTAGGAGATGCCTAATGTAGAGGGCAGACTGATGGGGTGCAGCCAACCACTGTGACACATGCATACCTGTGTAATAAACCTGCAGGTTCTGCACATGTATCCCAGAACTTAAAGTATAATAATAAAAAATCAAAAACAATAAATAAGCCCACACAAACTGGATGGGCATGGTAGCTTACTCCTGTAATTCCAGCACTTTGGGAGGCTGAGGTGGGTGGATCACCTGAGGTCAGGAGTTTGAGACCAGCCTGGCCAATATGGCAAAACCCCATCTCTATTAAAAATACAAAAATTAGTGGGGCGCAGTGGTGGGCACCTATTATCCCAGCTACTGAGGAGGCTGAGGCATAGAGAACTGCTTGAAGGGAGGTGGAGGCGGCAGTGAGCCAAGATAGTGCCACTGCACTCCAGCCCGGGTGACAGAGCTGGACTCTGTCTCAACAAACCAACCCATGATGATTATTTATAGAGATACCTTGGTTTTGACAAGGTGAATTTTGACAAAATCCAATGTTATTGATCATAATCATTTACTCTATTCTTATTTAATTGTATCATAATTATTTCTTTTTGAAACATGTTATATGTCAGTGGTTCCGTTTCTAAAAGGCAAGCACTCTTTTATGACATCCACTATGAATTGAACTGACTTATTTCTGAATTCCCTAGAACCTCATCTCCAAGGGCCTCCTGAATATTCCTAAAAGGATTTCCCATTCACTTCATTGCAAGGAACCCGATTGCCTCTTCATGTTTTCCATCACTAATGATGTCTCAATGTCTTGCCTTAATTCTGTCTCTCTCTCTTTTTTTTAAAATTTTTTTTGAGAGAGACTGTGTCACCCAGGCTGGAGTGCAGTGGTGTGATCTCAGCTTACTGCAACCTCTGCCTCCTGGGTCCAAGCAATTCTCGTGCCTCAGCCTCCTGAGTATCTGGGATGACAGGTGTGAGCCACAACATCTGGCTAGTTTTTTCTATTTTTAGTAAAGACAGGTTTCACCACGTTGGCCAGGCTGGTCTTGAACTGCTGGCCTCAAGTGATCCACCTGCTTGGCCTCCCAAAGTGCTAAGATTACAGGTGTGAGCCATCTTGCCCAGCTGCCTTAATTAATTAACTCAGCAATTTTTAAAAAAATATCTATTATGTCTAGACATTGTTCTGGGCAATGAAGTGAACAAAACAGCTTACAAATTCCTGGCTTCTTGAAATTTATATTCTAGTGTGGGGAGGTAATAATTTTTTTAAAAAGATAATTATCTATCTAATCTATCTATTTATCTATCTGTCATCTATCTATCTTTATATAGATATCTTTCATCTGTCTACCTATTTATAATATGAGGTGAAAGTAAATGTTATGGAAAAAGTAAAGCAGAGAAGGTGAATAGGGTGGCAAGCCTGGGGCTGAAATTTTTAAAAGGTCATCAGAGGGCATCACAGTGACATTTCAGCAAAGGCCTGAAGGAAATGAGGCAGTAAATCATACGAGTATCTGAGAAAAGTGCATTTCAGGCTGGCGGAATTCTAAATTCCAAGATCCAGAGGTCAGAGTATGTGTCTAACTTATAGAACGGAAAAAGGGTTAGTGTGGTTGAAGTGATGTGACAGAGGAGGAGAAAAGTAGGAAATGGAGGCGGAAGGGCAGGAGGAACACAATGTAGAGAACACACTCCAGGTATAGGTCAGCAAAGAAGCAGGGGGCAGTTAAAAGCTGTAGTGATTCGGGCAGAGAGATGATGGTGCCTGAGACCAAGATGGTAGAAGTTTCGGTATTGAGAAGTAAACAGATTCTGAACGCAGTTTGGAGGTATTTTTTCTCTTGTCTGATTACTTTAGTGAGGACCTCCAGTGCTATGTTGAATAATAGTGGTGAAAATGGACATCTTCATCTTTTCTAGATCTTAGAGGAAACCTTTGTTTTTCCCCACTCAGTATGATACTAGCCATGGGCCTGTCATAAATGGCTATTACTGTGTTGAGGTATGCTCCTTCTATACCCAGTTATTGAGAGTTTTTATTATGAAGGAATGTGGAATGTTATCAAATGTTTTTTCAGTGTCAGTTGAAATGATCATACAGTTTTTTTCTTCATTCTCTTAATATGATGTGTCACATTAATTTTTTTGCATATGTTGAACCATCCTTGCACTTCTTGGATAAATCCGACTTGGTCATAATGAATAATTTTTAAATGTGTTCTTGCATTTGATTCGCTAGCATTTTGTTGAGGATTTTTGCATCAATGTTCATCAGGGATGTTGGGCTGTAGTTTTCTTTTTTGTGTCTTTGTCTGGTTTTGGTATCAGGGTAATTCTAGCCTCATTGAATAAGTTTGGAAGTATTCCCTTCTCTATCCTTTGGAATAGTTTGAATAGGATTGGTGTTAGTTCTTCTTTAATTGTTTGTTAAAATTCAGCACTGAAGCCATTAAGTCCTGTCCTTTTCTTGCTGGGAGAACTTTTATTACAGCTTCAATCTGATTATTTGTTATTGGTCTATTCAGGTTTTGAACTTCTTCATGGTTCAATCTGGTTAGGTTGTATGTGTCTAGGAATTTATTCATGTCTTCTAGGTTTTCCAATTTATCCATATATAGTTGCTCATAGTAATCTATAAAGATCTTTTGAATTTCTGCAGTATTGGTTATAATGTCTCATTTTGCATCTCTGAGTTTACTTGTCCCCTATCTTTTTTCTTAGTCTCAATAAAAGTCAATTTTGTTTATCTTTTCAAAAAACCAACTTTTTGTTTTGTTGTTCTTTTGCATTGTTTTTTATTTCAATTTCATTTATTTCATTCTGATGTTTATTATTTTTCTTCTACAAATTTCAGGTTTGGTTTGCTCTTCCTTTTCTAGTCTTTTTTTTTTTTTTTAAATGCATCATTAGGCTGTTTATTTGAAGGTTTTCTTCTTTGTTAGTGTAGGCACTTATAGCTATGAAATTTCCTCTTAGACTGGCTTTGCTGTATTTCATAGGTTTTGGTATGTTGCATAACTTTCTTCTTGATTTTTTCATTAACTCACTGGTAATTCAGGAGCAGATTGTTAAATTTCTGTATGTTTGTATAGTTATCAAAATTCCTTTTGCTATTGATTTCTAGTATTATTCCATTTTGGTCAGAGAAGATACTTGATATGATTTCAATTTTTAAAAATGTTTTAAGATTTGTTTTGTGACCTAACATATGGTCTCTCCTTGAGAATGATCCCTGTGTTGGGGAGATGAACGTTTATTCAGCAGCCACCGGATGAAATTTTCTGTTAGGTCCAGTTGATCTATTATGCAGATTAAGTCCAATGTTTCTTTATTGTTTTTCCCCCTGGATGATCTGTCTAATGCTGAAAGTGGGGTGTTGAAATCTCCAGCTATTATTGCGTTGAGGTCTATCTCTCTCTTTAGCTCTAATATTATTTTTTTAATATGTATCTGTGTGTGCAAGTATTAGGTGCATATATATTTACAATTGTTATATCATCTGACTAAGTTGACCTCTTTATCATTATATAAGTAATTTCTTTGTCTCTTTTTATGGTTTTTGTCCTGAAATCTATTCTGTTTGATAAAAATGTAGCTACCCCTGCTCCTTTTTGCTTTCCATTTGCATGGAATATCTTTTGCTATTTCTTTATTTTCAGTCTATGTGTATCTTTATCCGTGAAATGTGTTTCTTGTACACAATAGATCATTGCCTTTTATTTATTTATTTTTATCCATTCAGCCACTCTGTCTTTTGCCTGGAGAGTTTAGTCCATGTACATTCAATGTTACCATGGCTAACTAAGGACATACTCCTGCCATTTTGTTTTCTCTTTTC